TGTTTTTGTTATTTTTTTCTTCGGCCGGAACGGATTAATTGCATTTCAATGTATTCCAATGGGAAATGGTGCTTTGACTTAACGACCTTTTCAAGTTACGACCATCTTACGGAACCGATTAAGTCGAGGCACCATTGTATTTGACTTAACATCCAGCCTGAATTTGTATCCTATAAAGCTTGCTGATTATTTTGTATGTTTTAAGTTAATTCTAGTTGATTCTAACAAAGTTGTAATTCCGCCAATGCTTTGCTTTAAATAAATAAATAATTCTAATAGAACATATAATCACTGGTTAGCATTGTCTGAGCTAGATTGCTAAAAGGTGTTTGCCTATTTTGAAAACTTTATGGACAGGTTTTAGTTAATTTTGTTTGACCTCTTTACACTCCCAATTCAGCTAGATTTTGGGCCCAAAAATCCTACCAGCAGGGCTGGCTCCCACTATCTCTGGATCAATGCCTATGATTATTATCATGCTCCAGTTCTCCATTCTAACTAGGTACAAGAACATATGGGACTGGTAGCTTTCAATATGTTGTGCTGTCAAGTTACATCTGACTTATGAGAACCTTTCGAATGAGAGATCTCCAACATGATCTGTCCTCAGCAGCCCTGCTCAGCAATTCTAAACACAACCCTGTAGCTTCCTTTAGAGAGTCAATCCATCTCATATTTGGTCTGCCTCATGTCCTTCTGCTTTCCACCTTTCCCAGCATTATTGTCTTTTCCTGAGACTCTTGCCTTCTCATGATGTTCTTTTAAAGCAGGACAGTTTCAATTTCATCATTTTTGTCTCCAGAGAAAGTTCAAGCTTGATTTACTCTAGGACTCACTGGTTCATCTTTTTGGTGGTTCTGGGTATCTGCAAAGCTCGCCTCCAGCACCATGTTTCAAACAAATTAATCCCCCCCCCCGTCAGCTTTCTTTACTGCCCAGCTTTCAAACCTATACTGTACACGGGGATCAGAAATAGAAGAGTGTGGATGATCTTGGTCTTGATCTCCAGTGTGTAAAACTGGTTCATTTGCTCTGTGGTGTACCATGAATATTTTGAACGTCCCGAGCAAATCTGCCCATTCTGCCATGCACTCATATTCATGACTGGGTGGTTCATCAAATATTCTAAAGTGTGCTTGAAAGAGTGCGTTTTGTGGTACCACACTGGCACATGATAATGATATGACATGATAATGGTATGACATCACACTGCCAGGTCAGCATGGCAGCAAACTGGATATTTATGGCAGCCACCATAAATTCTTCAGCTATGCTTTGTGGCATCAGTACCCATACTCCTCCTTCTCCATTTGATTCCTTCAGCAGCTCTCCTGCTGGCTGATATAAAGGACCCTATAAATAGTTGATGCCATTAAGATGGAACCCCATTCTATCACTATTATGTCGCATGGTATGGCTGCAAAGGAGGATAGGATGGGAGTGCTGAATGAGGGTGACTGCAAAAGTATATGGAAGTAGAAATGAGACTGTTTGAGATAGGATGAGATAGAGCATTATCTCTACTCTGTGGGGGTAGAAATAATCACCATTGATTATCTGTACCCCTTACCGCCTCTACCAGGCAGTCACCATTGTACCTAACTATGAGTTAGGCCAAAACATACCACTGCGGACATGCACCTCCGGGAAAATGAAGCTGGACCTTTCTTCTTGCTGCTTTTAGTGCAGCTTGGAAAAACCTACCTTCATCTCAGATATTTTATTGGATCGAAGCATGTGTCTTTTGGATCACTAAGCAACAAGCAAACCATTGCATTTCCAATTGGCAGTGGGAGCAGTGATATATTCCCCCTAGGTTGGGTCCTACAACTAGTCAATATTCAGTAGTACTTGACAGCAGCTACCTACTCACATCTGTCGTGGTGGCAGTGGTGAGGGAACCTTCACTCCACAATGCTGGGGGGGGGGCATAATTTTTAATTCACCTTGAGGTGGAATTTGCACATCACAGGTCTTGGCAGCACCCTGGGACTGCTGTTGCATATCCTATTAAATATTGTGCAGAACAGCAAGGCCATCGGGGCATCTTGTAAATTGATCTAAACCTGATTAAACCAGGAAATTCCTATCAACATGTTAAATGTCATGTTTCTGTTCATATGACATGGCCTAAAACATTTTAACACAAAAAAGCTACTGTTAACTTTTAGTAGTATATGTGAGGTTTTAATACGTCCAGATCTCTCTATGTGCAAGGGGATGGTTTGCTGTAATATGGATTGATGGTACCTCTCTACAGTCTACTCAGAAATAAACCTGATTGCTTTGAGTGGGATTTACTCCAAGATAAGTGGCTATAAGATTGCCACTTCACAAGTGTTCCTACACTTCTTTCAAAAATAGTGTTTTAAAAAGTAATTCAAATGGATATACATACAGCCAGTTCTCTTAAGAATAGCTACACGAAGCACTCCCTCCACCCCTGCCACCCCAGGAGTGCTCCTACATATATTAACTGCTCCCTTACCACCATGCTGCCAGACCCACTTGACCACAGAGTTAAGAATTGAGACAGAATTAAGCCGTTCTTTCTTATTCATACTGTGTTTGTGGGTAAAAGAAGTAAGGTTGCGAGATTTCAGGGCTGTGGTTGAAGTTTCAGGGAATAGCATCTCAAGAAGCTATTCAAGTCTCAAGGCTGAGATATAAAGCTCACCGCAAGCAACACATGAGGAGGAAATGGTTATATTTTTGTGTTAGGTGGCTTGAAAACTTGGGCACACGCACAGCCACCCATTCCTGGCTGGCATCAAGGTTCAGTTGCTCAGCACGAAGTTGTTGGTATATGTCAAGAATAATTTCCTAACCTGGCAGAACAAGGTTTGTATTAATGAGCATCCATAATTCTATAGTTGTGCTAGAATGCAGACTCATGGTTGATGCAACATATGCTGAGTCATGGATGACGTAACACATGCTGAGTCATGGATGATGCAACATCTTCTATGATTGGTTGTATGCTAATATGTATAAGTATATATATGCGAAGGTGAACTGATGATGTATCCTCCACCACTGATCCATTGCTTGATGTCATGCTGCCAGTTGGAACTGCTGTATACAGTGGTGCCTCGCATTACGATGTTAGTTCGTTCCAGCGAAATCGCTGTAGAATGAAAACGTAATGCGAAAAGAAAAAACCCATTGAAACGCATTAAAACCCATTTAATGCGTTCCAAAGGGCGGTAACCTCACCGTCCAGCGAAGATCCTCCATAGGGCAGCCATTTTCGCTGCCTGTGCAGCAAGGAATCCGTCCCAAAAAACAGCAGGGGGCCATTTTCTTTACCCAGCGGCCATTTTGAAACTGCTGATCAGCTGCTGAAAAATCACTGTTGCGCGAAGAATTGGTTCCCGAAGCAGGGAACCGATCATCGCAAAGCGAAATTCCCCCATAGGAAACCGTTTTGCGATCGCAAAAACTTCATCATAATGCAGTTTCGTCGTTAAACAGGGCAGTCGTAAAGCAAGGGACCACTGTATATTGTAAATATACTTTGGTGTCGGGAGAAGCTGCCTGTGTACGTGTAAATTATTTGGACTGGACTGCCTGGACTGGACAAGACTGCACCATAGATGCCAGCTTTATGCGCTAACAGTATATGTGTTGCGTTTATGCAGTGTTCATGCCCTCATGATCCAGGAGCCAGACAGAGCCATTACTATTACTCTTGGGCAGTTTATAAAAGCAATTTATCTGAAACTCAGAGGCATCATATTGAAATTTCTGCCTACTGGAAAAAAATGGCTGCCTTGCAAGTGACATCTATGCCCTGAGATTTAAAGAAATCACTGTGAGACCAGTTGTTGCAATCTCTCTTTGACACACATTGTACTGAGACTTTCCTGAGTAGCAGCAAGTGCAGCCTTGTTAGGACCCAGCATAAGAAAAACTCTTGAAAATTAGTTCCGTTGCCGTTTTTTTGTGGAGCAAAGTACTCTTCTCCTGCCTGATTGGTTGTTTCATTCTATCATAACCCAATCAACATGAAGTGGTTTCCAGTGTCTGAGATGCATAAGATGTTACAATAAAAGCCTGCATATATTTATCATTGATTTACCACCTGTGATAAATCAGAGATGTAAATGTATCAGAGATGTAAATGTAGTAGCATATGGCATATTCAGAAATTTTGCCCTGAATATTTGTGTTGTTTCTATCTGGTTGGATTTTAAAGTAAAGCAACGATTCTGTGCCCAAAGAGGAAGTTCCTACTTTCTGTGAAGGAAGGAAGGAAGGAAGGAAGGAAGGAAGGAAGGAAGGGGTTGGATTTTAAAGTAAAGCAACGATTCTGTGCCCAAAGAGGAAGTTCCTACTTTCTGTGAAGAAAGAAAGAAAGAAAGAAAGAAAGAAAGAAAGAAAGAAAGAAAGAAAGAAAGAAAGAAAGAAAGAAAGAAAGAAAGAAATCCTATTTTCAACCGCAGTTATGTTCACCAAAAGAGGGATGCGGTGGCGCTGCAGGTTAAACTGCAGAAGCCTCTGTGCTGCAAGGTCATAAGACCAGCAGTCGTAAGATCGAATCCATGTGACGGAGTGAGCTCCCATCACTTGTCCCAGCTCCTGCCAACGTAGCAGTTCGAAAGCATGTAAAAATGTGAGTAGATAAATAGGTACCACCATGATGGGAAGGTAACAGCATTCAGTGTCTACTCGTGCTGGCCACGTGTCCACGGAAACTATCTTTGGACAAATACTGGCTCTATGGCTTGGAAACAGGGATGAGCACCGCCCCCTAAAGTCAGACACGACTGGACATTTGTCACAGGGAACATTTACTTTTACCTTTATGTTCACCAAAAATTCTGAACCATACATATGGTTATGTGTTAAGTTCTTGTCTACTTAGTTGAATAAATTTGCTGAAGTACAATACCAGTAAAAGGTATATCCAGAAATAGCTTCCATGGTCCTAATTATTTAACTGAGTGCATAACTTAGCACATAAATAGTTTCAATTTTATTTAAACATACCCACCCACCCGCAATTAGTCCAGATGGAGGCAAATTTATCTGGTTCAAGACTGTTCCTTTTCCTGTTTGTCTCCTTTAACGAGAAAGCACAAGGACTCAGTTTGCTGAGATTTGCACACTTCCTTATATTTCTGAACTTTCTGGGAGCATGGTATTATTTTGCACCTGTCTTTGTTGCAGGGGTGGTGGTCAAAGCTTAGCAGGTAAGTGCTTCCTACGCAGAGTTCCTTTCTGAGTCACAAGCTCCCAGGTCACCATTTTTAATTAATTATTTTTTTTTAAACAGACACACACACATGCCCTCGAACCTCCAGGAGCAGAGCTAAAACTAAGTTAAAACTACTTGGTCAATTTCCTGATTGGCTAAGTGGAAATCCCACCAGCACTGCAACACAATTTATCTCAAAAACAGGAATTAGTGAGTTCCTTTTTAGTCCATTCATATGTCTCATTTTCTAAAATGCTTATTAAATTTATACAGTCATATGTATCCTTGATTTTCAATCCTTGACCTTCCAGATATTTTGCACTGTGAGTTCCCAGAATCCTTGACCATAGTTGCCAGTCAGAGGAGATCAAAGCTTGAGAACCACTCATTTACATTTTATGAGCAACACCAAAAATATCTTCCTAAAATTACAATATCTGTAATCCATTTTTGGGGGGAACACTGATCCTAAAATCCTCTAAGGAACATAACAACTTCACACCATGTTTCTGAAAACACTGCATTTTGCATTTTCATTACTGAAAAAAGATAGTGGCTCATCAGACAACTCGTAATTGCCTCTCAACTGCCTGCACAGATGTAAAAGCGGAAGGAAATCAATTGCTTCAGCCAGTATTACAATTAGCTTAATACTTTCCAAACAGATCTTTTCCTAGGGGAACACTAGTCATTGAAGTTACATGGTAGTTAGCAAGGCAGAAAAAAAATAACCAAGGGGAGGAGGCAGAATCCTCATACAGAGTAATCTCCTAATTAAATTTGCTCTTTTGTGAGCCTGAACAAATTAAGTTCCCCTTCATCATCACTTAAATAGGCAAAATGATGCCATATTATGATTAATTTTTTTCACCACATATAGCAGGGAGTTAGTGGGCAAACCAGCTGTATTTCTCTTCTTTGGGGGAAAAATCTAGTCTTAACAGTAGCTGTAATCCAACATCTTGAAGGCCACATGTTCCCCAGCCTGTGACAGATGCTAACACAATTATGTATATCTAAAAGTAACCCCTCTGTTGTCAGAAGGATATTTGATCCAAGTAGCAGAGGCTTCCATAAGCAGAAATTGAGGGGGGGGGGTTGGATTTTGCTTATCTTCCTTTTTGCTCACAGCTTCCTATAGGAACCAAACTCTGTTCCAAAGGATCTGGAGATACAGTGGAACATGTGGGAAGTGACACCACAGCTGAAGAATTAAGGGAACATTTTCAACGGGGAAAAATCCCTCCCTCACCCCCATTTTAAACTCATGAAAACATCAAACATGTCAAAGTGCCTATCTTCTCCTGAGAGACATAATTAGATACAACCTATTATCCACACATCAAAAATGTGACTTTCTGAGGCCACCTAGTGAACACACGGCATAAATGAATCAAGGCCCCCTCTTTTACATTTGTGTCTCTTTGTGGCAATCAATGGTATGCCTGCATCTCTAATCCCCGTAAAGTAAGGTTGCTAAATACTCTTCGTCTATATTTCTCAGGGAAAGACTGCCAGCCCTCACCTCTCAATAACAGTAATCCATAACCTGGACACTTGGAAATCCAGGTTCATGACTGCTTGTATCTGTGGAGAAAAACAGGTTTCTTTTCCAGAGGTTTCTTTGAACTCAGGTGAACATGCATTAAGCCAACAGCAAATGAATGTGACCGCTATTAACTGCTTATAGCAGTAATAGCAGTCAGGAATCGTACTATTATCATCAACTATTGGAAACCAGATTTCTGGCTGCGAAGCATGAGATTCCAGAGATTAGGGATGTGTCCTGTCTTTAGACAACTACTAAGACACTAAGGAGAGCTCAGATTGAGGGCACTGTGAGCTCTACACAACCTTGTAACTATTTTAAATAGGCGTGAGACTTGCATTCTAGAACTTTCTTCTTATAGAACCATAGAGTAATGGAATAATTTAGTTGGAAGAGGCTGTGACAGACAGATCAGGAACCACTCCTGTCCATCACAATTGAATCTTGACAGATCAACCAATGGGTGAACAGAAGAGGTGGAACGGAGAATATTTAAGAAGAATGGAAGGCAGTTAAAGTTCAGTTGGAGATATGAGTTAGAGTTAGAGAGGACTTCAGTCAGGGATGAAGTAGGGACCTCAGTTAAAGAGAAGAAGTTAGGCAGTCAGGAACAGTCGTGTGTTAGTGAAGAGTAATAGAGAGACAGGAAAAGAAATGAATAAGAAAAGAAATGAATAAATACTTGTATTAACATGATTCTGCATAAACAAATATAACTGTTACTAAAGCACACCTCCCCCCTTGGAAAAGTTTGTATCATGGAGGTAAACTCTACAGTGATTTACCCTCATGTACAACGTATGAGAGAATTTTTTTTCATTATATAACCATTCTTTAGACATTAACCAAATATACATTTTACACTTTTACATTTTCTCTATTACTTTTTTTTACATATACAGTATCATCACTTTTATTACTTATATAAACTTATACATTTTATACTTTTACATTTTCTCTATAATTTTTTTTACATATACAGTATCATCATTTTATTACTTATATAAACTCTATAACTTACATTTTTAAATATTTTTCCATTTCTTTTATATTTTTTCCATGCAATTATAACATTTTAATTTTGACCAGTTTGCATTTTATTACATTTTCATTTTCATTTATTTATTACTTGTCATCAATTTTAACACTACATTGCACAATGCTACATTACTACATGGCAAAACATAACCAGAACTTTTAATTACAGTTTCACTTCTAATATTTGTTATTATAAGGTTGTTGTTTTCTCATTACTTCCTGTCATTCGTTGGGTTTTCGAGACCATGCATATGCAATCTTATTTTGAGTCTTTCCTTTTCTTTGGATCTCATCAGCAAAGTCTTTTAGTTTTAGTGTCTGTCTTGCAATTTTGTTGATTTTAAGTTTCACAGTTCGCAACGTTCCATAAAGTTTCTTTCTTTGAAATGTCCCGTCAATTAAAATTCTCCCCTTCCAGTTGCCAATTAAATATCTCTCACCTGCTTGGTCTTTCTTGTTGTCCACCTTGCTCTGTACGGCTCCTGGTTCAAATCCTGCTACAGCGATGATGATGAAGAGTCACAATGTGACTTCTGTGGACCCGGCCTCTCTGTATACGACGATGTCTCTGGACACAACCTCTCTGGACATGACCTCTCTAGACACTATGACATCTCTGGATACTACACCGACCTCTCTTTACTGTAGTCCGAAGTTTTTCTAGGGTCTTTTTACATCTGCTCAACCTCTGGATCTTCTTGTCTTTTCTTTTAAATTTCATTTTTTCTATGACTAGAGTAATTTTACTTAATACTTCTTGCCCTTCCATTTTGTCTACTTGATTGATTTTAGATGCACCTTTAACTTTATCTAGCCCTATTTCTTTATTCTCCAATTTCTTAGCTAGGGTTTCTTGTTGCTTGGTTTTAGCTATGGGTGCAGACACAGAATTATCAGCCTTTTCAGATAACTGCATGCTTTCCCTAGATACTACTTCTGCTACCTGCAGTTTACTTCCCTCTAAAGTTTTCAGTTTCACAACCTCAGGACAATATGATGTTTCCTGAGCCTCATGTAAGTTTTCCTCTTTTTCTGGAGTCATTTTTAAATTAGGTTCTGATTTTGCTAAAGATTTTTCTTTAGGTGTAAGATCTTTGTCTATACAGATTTTCTCAGGACTTTCAGAGAACAATAGACTGATATCTTGAAACTTTTTTAACCAATTCTGTGAGCTATTATCTATCTCCTGGTTAAAACTCCTTTCCTTGGGCTTTTCCACTGGATCTTCTTGTCTTTTCTTTTAGGTTTTATAATTTTTAAAGGAGAGGCTATACATATGGCATTTCTTTCCCCATGCTGGGTATAGCCTGCTATCCTTATCATAGCTTTCACTCTATCCTCTTTTCTTTTTTCTATGACTAGAGTAAATTTATTTAGTAGTTCTTGCATTTCTCTTTTATCTACTTGCTTAATTTTAGATGCACATTTAATATTTTCTATTTCTAATTCTTTATTCTCCAATTTCTTAGCTAGGGTTTCTTGTTGCTTGGTTTTAGCTATGGGTGCAGAAACAGAATGATCATCTTTTTCAGTTAGCTGTATCTTTTCCTTAGATACTATTTCTGCTGACTTTAATTTACTTCCCTCTAAAGTTTTCAGTTTCACCATCTCAGGGTAGCATGATGTTTCCTGATCCTCATGTAACTTTTCCTCTTTTTCAGGAGTCATCACTTCCTCAGGAACCTCACTATTACCATAAAGATTTTCTATCTTTTCTGTTTGTGAGTGTGTGGTGATCACATCAGTCTTAATATAATTAATTAAGTCTAAAACAACTAAACAAGGCGTATGGATCTCATGTGAAACAGCTACTTTAAATTTACCAGTCCAATCTTTATACCTTATATGTACTTTAGCTACTGGTAACTTAACTAATTCTGTCCCAATTCCTTTAACTGATGATATCTTTCTGTGAAATAATATCTGCATGGCATATAGTTATCTGAGAACAAGAGTCTCTCAATGCTAGATATTTGGTATTATTCATGTTAATATTTTCTTCAGCTGATTTCATCAGTTCCCTGTTAGTCTTAATGTAATAGCAGTGGACTATCTCTGCTAGAGGAGGCAGTTGCTCCTGCTCCCCTGCGTCAGTTGAACTGCCATCTTGGCTCACTTTAGAATTTTCATTCTGCTTTTGTATACAGTACATCTTTTTAGGTACAACTCCCCCTGTTTTCTGTTGTCCCCTTTCTTTGTTTTTAATAAATTCACAATTTGAAAGAAAATGATTTGGTTTTCCACAACCGAAACAAGTTTTTAAATTTCTTTGTTCATTATAAGTGGTTCTGTCTCCCTTTCTTTCAAAGCGTTTACCTTGTTCTGAGGATCTGTCTCTAAAATGGCTTCCAACTGCCAGCTCATCTTTGAGGTACTCTCTGGGTTCTGTCTTTCTATCTTCCCCTCTATTTTTTCTCAGAATACTTTGAGTTTATTACTTCTTTTGTATATTCAGTTATTTTTAATTGATTCCCCTCAGGATTTGATTTATTATTATTATAGTTTTGGATTTGTAATTGTAATTGTTTCATTTTTAGTTGATGTTGCCTCTCTTTTTCCCTCATTTCCAGTTCCAGCTGTCTCTTTTGAGCTTCAGGCTCTAGCTGTCTCTTTTGAGACTCAGCTTCTAGCTGTCTCTTTTCTTGTTCCATGGCTATGGCCATCTCCCTTTCTAATTGTTTTAACTGAAATTCATATTATTTTTCTATTTTCCTTTTTAAAAACTCCAGGGAGTTGTTTTCTCTCCTTGAGGCACCCTCCTGTTCCCTCGAGCCCTCATAATCCTGGCCCTCTTGGTCTGAAATTTCCTCTTCCTGAGGTAAAGTCTGACCCTCAGCTAATTCCATAACTGCCTTCTTCCCTCGCTTGGAAGGCATGCCCAACTGTTTTTAATTTGAACAAGTTGGCAGGTTGCTTTCTC